ATATATATATATATATATAGGGGAGAGAGAGAGGGCGGTATGATCTGAGTACGGTAGGAGTAATCTTTTCTTGACAAACTAACTAAAAGAACCTAAATGCTTGAATTCTGGTTGAACTTGTAAAACTTCAGCAAAGTTATCTCTGAACCAAGCTGTGACATGGATGTTATCCACTGTAAAGTAGTACAGTTTATCTTGACAAGTGTTGCGACGGTAGCTGGATCTAGGATCGGCTGTTAAGATATTTGTTATAGCTTCCTTGGCTTCTTGTGCACTTGAGAAAAATTCCAACACATATTCATCTTTTGAACCTGTAAGATTACAAAATAATGACAATAAATTGGAAATTTAGTTTGTGTCTAATGACAAAAATAAACCTGGTTGTTTAAACGTATGTGCTGTACCCACATTATTGTCAGGCACAAACTGTATTTTATGTTTTAGTCAAGGGTGATTATAGGCCTACAAACTAGGTTTATCCTGCTTAAACCATTACGATTTTACTAATGATTCCACAATTGATGCATATGTATAGGCCCATTCCAAGTTATACTGCAAGTAGGGTAATGCTTTGCCCAGGAAAGTTAGGGAATCTAATCTTTACATTTAGCCCTACCCCAGCCAGGCCTTCTAATAACCCACTGAAGTGGTTAAAGTTTGAATCTGTCCATTTTTCTTGGTATGTGAGCTATGGCTAATTAGTCTAATTAACTACATAGTGTAATTGCACAATTATGTAAAAAGGAATTAAATATTGTGGTTGCACAATTATGTAAAAAGGTAAAGCTTGATGTACGTAATCAAACTGTTAAAGGAAAAAAAAAGAAAAAACATCATTTTTTTAGTTTTTTTTCCTCTCCTATGAACTGGCACTTCATAAATCTCTGCTATTATTATTAATATTATCAAATAATAATTTTTTTGCAATTTTTACCATTAGAATGTTTTGTCAGACTTGAATTTATAAAACTGTTTAACTGTTTTTCTGCACTGGGAGTAAACCGCACATAAAGCTCCTTTATTGGTGGAGAAGTAATCCATTCTGGTACTCTGACATCCTTCACAGATCTTTCTGGGCTTGCTCCTTCTAGTTTGGCTCCTTCTGGTCTGGTTCCTCTTGCTCTGGTTCTCTCTAGTCTGGTTCCTTCATGATACTGTAAATTTGAAACCTCTATTGCATCATTTGTTGCTGCACTGTCATCATAATTCACCTGATCAATTGGAAGCAAGTGTTTGGACAAATCCTGTTTGCTATTGGCATCCTGTTCTGCATGTGTAGATTGATAGTTGCCAATCTCTTGATCCAGTCTTGGTAACTCTGCAGCTCTGAATGCCTCTTCCGGTCTGTCGTACATTGGTACATATGGCTTGATGTCCAAGATCGGTGTGTTATCGATGATATCAATCCCAGATAAAAATATAGTATCACCTGAAAAAGATATACCATCACGTTAAACTGAAAATTTAAAAACAATAATTGCATACTTTGTAAGAGTGATTAGATTTCAACTCAAAATTAGAATAAAAACATACTGTTGTCTGCTTTTCAAAGTTTTTTTTTCCTAAATATTGTAGGTGTACAAATTACATATATACATATTTACATACATTATTTATAAAAATGGTTTGTGTTTAGATTCTTGTATTGCTAACAATAAAATAGCAATTAGAATTGCTGAAATTGTGCTTTTTTGAAATTACAATTCCTCTTATACTCTTACCTTGCACTTTATCTAGTTTGGCCAGAGATAAGCCTATAGGATTTGGTCTGTGTGGACTCCTTGTGGAATACAGTCCGGTCTTGCCTCCATCTAGTCTAGGGGGTTTAACCTTTGCTTTTGTAAAACTTGTCAATGGTCCATTGTCATGGAAAGCAAATAACACCCTGTACAAAACAAAAACAGTGAACATTGCAATAACCATTATTAATAACATAAATGTATTAAAAAACATGCTGTAAAAACTCCACTCTTTCCCTGTTGTAGTGATCCCTAGAATATGTCAAACCTGGGCAAGCTCTAGTCAAAATATTATTAAAGTTACTGTGAAGAGAATACATAGATAAACATTCATTCATGTATTCAATTGTACTTGCCATAAGGCACAGAATTGCAGAAATTTTTAACAAAATACAGTATGTAAAAATCTTTAAAAACAATAAAATGCAATTGAATTAAAAAAATATTTATTTAAATATGCTTTCATTACCAGACATGTGAGAAGCTTGCTAAACCTTCCAAACTGTGCTCAGGGTGGACAAAGACTGATTTTGATATTTGTAACCTTGCTTTTGCAAAGCTGCACACAGATGGTTGTCTCGGAGTCCCATTCTTACTCTTGAAACAAGAACGAAGGTGTCCAATAGGCTGCAGTGGAAATATTGATGCGCGTTGTTGAAGCTGCATTGCATCTGTGTCCATAGGTCTTGCCTTGTTACATGTTGGTACTATTTCATCTTTCTTTGATTTTATCAAATTATATAGTTCCTCAACATCTTTTTTGTAAACATGTTTAAGTGTTTCGATTTGCTGTCTGTAAATACAATTAATATTAAATGGATTGCGAATGTTAAAAAGACGAAAAGTTGAACTATACCACTTAGTGCTAGGAATATTTCTGACTGGCACTACACCAGCCTATAATGGAAATTAAGGCCAATACAATAGTCTTGGACATAAATGGAGTACTGTATCTGGCCAATGTCAGCTGCTGCAACAGTGGTTTAGAGTCAAAATTTCCATACCACCTATTAAATAATTTGTCTTGAGTGTAAAATATGGGTTGCTTAAATTACAGGTACAGGAAATAGCTGTGAAATTTCACAAGATTTAGGGGCCACTTTTTCTTAGTTTTCACAATAATTTATCAGTTTAGTTAGTTTAGACAATGTAACCAAAGATCCCAGCAAAAGAAAAGTCCCTTGTTTTGGACATTAACCCATGATCAATTTCCGAAGTATTTTTGTAACTACAGACATTCCATAGAACTTGAGAATTCTGCAAGTTTTTTACAATGACTAGAGATACAGCTGAGTACTCTCAAAACTGAAATTATATGTAAATTCACTATTTTAAAAAAGATGTGCAAAAATATGGGTTTTTTTACAGCCTTGGCTATTGTACAGTATAGTTGTTACATAATATAATATTTCTTACAGTGACTAGCATTAACAATCAAGTCTCCTGGATTGCCCTGGAGTCTCCAGCAATTTTGGTCCATTTTCCGGTCTCCCAGAAATTCCACACTTTCTCCCGGAATTTGAATTTTTCTTGAATTTCTCCAGGATTTTACCAGCTTTTCACAATTATTGCTTATGCTAAACTAAATTTTCCCATTCTTGACCATTAAATATGGCAGACATCCAATTTATTGAACATTCTAGGCAGCAATAAGGTATTAACAATGACCTAAGCCTGCCCAAAGCTTCTTTGTTTTTATACTGAATATGGTGATGAATTTGTACATGCGAGTCCTTGTACATGCGTTTTAGCCAGTACATGAGTCGAAAACATCTGTCTGTTCCTACATGACAAATTCTCCAGAAATTTGACTTTCACAACTTGGGACCCCTGAATAACTCGATTATGAAATATGTGACAGAAGATTGCCTTTAATTGGTCCGTAGTTGTGGCATTTTAAAATTTTATACTGTATTTGTTTTTGGGAAAAATGATGCAATGACTCAGTAGGCCTCCCAATTCACCTAAAATCCAATTTTGAAGGCCAATTTCCCTCTTCCTAAATAAAAATAAATATTAAAGTTTTCCCAGAAAATCTAGAATTTTTCTTCGAAATAAAAAAAGAGAATAGGCCTATCTGTAAAATTTGCTTCACAAATATGAGATTTGTAAATAAAATGGGTAGGCCCCTTTCTGCATAAATACTTGTATACAGTACTTATTGTTTGTTGAATATTGTTTTAATGTATTTTTGTAAGACCACGAAACAGGATACATTAGTTTAAAGTGTTTCCCTTTCTGCATAAATATTTGTATACTTATTGTTTGTTGAATATTGTTTTAATGTATTTTTGTAAGACCACAAAACAGGATACATTAGTTTAAAGTGTTTCCCTTTCTGCATAAATATTTGTATACTTATTGTTTGTTGAATATTGTTTTAATGTATTTTTGTAAGACCACAAAACAGGATACATTAGTTTAAAGTGTTTCCCTTTCTTCGGCCACAAGTCAACTCGGCCACAAATGAACTCGGCCACAAAAAGTTCGGCTGCAGTCAACTCGGCCACAAGTCAACTCGGCCACAAGTTAACTCGGCCACAAGTCAACTCGGCCACAAGTTATTTATAATTAAAATGAAATGTAAATACGGTAT